CCCACCTTAGCCTCCCCAGTAGCTGGGACTATAAGCGTATGCCACCATGCCAGGCTAATATTTGTAATTATTATAGAGACAGGTCTCCCTAAGTTGCCCAGGCTGGTCTCTAACTCCTGGGCTCTAGCAATCCACCCACTCCAGGCTCCCAAAGTGTTAGGATTACAAGTGTGAGCCACTACGCCTGGCTACAGACTATTTATAACTTTGGGTTTTGTACTATGTATAGTATTGATTTAAATTTTTTTTTTAATCTTACATGTCAAAAGAATTAACAGGATTGTAGCAGGTGCCTAATAAGTACAGGTTAAACCATTCTGCTATTTCAGGAACTTGCATTTAGGAAGTATGGTGCTTACTGTGCAACAAGAGCCCCTGGCCATCCCTGTTTTTCAGGTCTTAGAGGATAGAGCTCAGCTAAGAAGGAGCTCCTCTTAGATCTGCTGGAAGCCAGAGCCCTGCTCCCCGGCGAGGACCACACCGCCATCCTCCCTGGAGTTTGCAGTTGGAGGCACCAGATGCTCTTGCAGCATCCAGAGAGATGCCATCTGTGAGGGAAACCTATTCTTAGAGAGCAGAGACAGTCAGTAGCAGAGCTGGCCAACCCCCAGCAGCAGTGGGGGGACTTCAGGAGGGCAGGTGGCCAAGGTTTCACCTTCAGCTGAGGGCAGGACAGGCTAAAAGCAGGGTGTGCTCGGTCCTCAGGACCCATACTTCCTCTACATTTGGATGCTCTATTAGAAATAACAGCATTTATTGAGGGCTCACTTTAACCATGTCATATTCTTCAACCCTCCAGACCACTCGAGGTGTGTGCTGTTACTCAGTCACTTGCCAAAGGAAATTGTAGAGCCAGGGCTTGAGCCCAGGCACTCTGGCTCCAAAGCCTATGTCCCTGACCATCGTGCTATACTGCCTCTCAACCTGCTGTACAGAGGCCAATTTTAGTTTGGGTTTTCCCAATAGCAGACTTTAAGACACGGATTTGAATGCAAGTGGTTCATATGGGAAGTGGTCCCAGGAAGCACTGCTAGGGGCATGAGGAAAGGAGACGGGGAGGGTATTTGAGGTTCAGCCCTGCTGGGGAGCTCTGGGAGTCAGTGTGGAGCATGTACCTGAGCTATCCCACCCGATGGGTGAGGGCTGTGGGCTGTGGGAGTGGGGGTATTATTCAGTCATTGGTTGAGGTTGCTCCAGGGATGTGTTCATTCCCCAGCCCTTCAGGCCTGCCACAGGCTGGCAGAGGAGGCACCAGTGACAAGCTAGAGTCTTCAGGCAGAGAGATAGAGGGCCAGCCACTGGCAAAGCTGGCTGGTGTGCAGGAGAGTGATTAGTTAGAGGGGCTATAGGCAGGGCACCCCCACCATCTGCTATAAAACCTGCTTGCTGATGGCCGAAGCCCTCTGCCCTCCCCAACCTCTAAAGCAGCAGTCCCCAACCTTTCTGGCACCAGGAACCAGTTTCATGGAGAACAATTTTTTCACGGACTGGTGGGAGGGGTCATGGTTTCAGGATGATTCAAGCACATTACATTTACTGTGAAATTTATTTCAATTATTATTACTTTGTAATATAGAATGAAATAATTATACAACTCACCATAATGGAGAATCAATGGGAGCCCTGAGTGTGTTTTCCAGCAACTAGATGGTCCCATCTGGGGGTGATGGGAGACAGTGACAGATCATCAGGCATTAGATTCTTATAAGCACGCAACCCAGATCCCTCACATGTGTAGTTCACAATAGGGTTTGCATTCCTATGAGTATCTAACTCCGCTGCTGATCTGACAGGAGGCAGAGCTCAGGTGGGAATGTCAGCAATGGGGAGTGGCTGTAAATACAGATGAAGCTTCCCTGGCTCATGCCTTTTAACTCCTGCTGTGCAGCCCCGTCCCTAACAGGCCATGGATGGACACTAGGGTTGCAGACCCCTTGCCCTAGAGCTCATTCAGCCTCCACAGCAGGTTAAAAGAGATTCAACATCATCTACTCCAAGTTTGCAGTAAATATTGTGGCTAAAAACACAGCTTACAGAATCAGAGTGATCCCACCTCAGTTACCTAAGGCTCTGTGACTCATCTATCAGATGGGATAACAATGGATGGCTCCATATCATTCCCCACCCCCTGGTTACTCAGACCAGCATCACTGGCAGCACCTGGGAGCCTGGGAGAAATGCAGACTCTCAGGCCCCACCCCAGCTCACTGGATCAGAAACTGCATTTTAATAAGATCTCCAGTGACTCATGTGTACATTTCTACTAGTAATGTCTAAAAAATAGAGAATGATGGAGTAAGTATATTAATGAAAGCATATCTATCAGACCAATGCTCTCAAATTGGTAGCCCATGGACCAAATTTTCCTGGAGAATTGTTTGATTTGTCCAAGATTGTATTTTTTTTTTTTTTTGCGACTGAGTCTTTTTTGATCCGCCCGCCTTGGCCTCCCAAGGTGTGAGCCACCGTGCCTGGCCGAGACTGAGTCTTGCTCTGTCACTCAGGCTGGAGTGCGATGACATAATCTCAGCTCACTGCAGCCTCCCAGGTTCAAGAGATTCTCCCACCTCAGGCTCCCGAGTAACTGGGATTACAGGTGCCCATCACCACATCCAGCTAATTTTTGCATTTTTAGTAAAGACGGGGCGTTACCTTGTTGGCCAGGCTGGTCTCGAACTCCTGACCTCAGGTGATCTGCCCGCCTGGGTCTCCCCAGAGTGCTGGGATTACAAGTGTGAGCCACTGCGCCCGGTCCCAGATCATGGTTTTGCAAAAATCAGACTGGCACACAAGTCTTCAGTTCCCCATGTTCCCATCCCTGCATAGCACCCTGAATGTTTCAATTTGTGTCACTGTAGGCTCCTCTGGGCATTTAAATTTGTACCCCTTTCTAGTCCATATCCCATAATGAGCTCATGTTTGCATAGCATGGCTTAGGTTTCTAAATTTGAAGCAAGGCACTGAAGAAAACATGGGCTTTGAAATCAGAAAGATCTGAGTTCAAATCCTGATTTGGCTATTACACTATTTGTATTACCTTGGGCAAGTTACTCTCCTCTCTGATCCTCAGTTTCTTTCTTTTTTTTTTAGAGACATAGTCTCGTTCTGTGGCCCAGGCTGGAGTACAGTGGTTCGATCTCGGCTCACTGCAACTTCGACCTCCTGGGTTCAAGCAATTATCTTGCCTCAGCCTCCCTAGTAGCTGGGATTACAGGAGTGTGCCACCATGCCCAGCTAATTTTTGTATTTTTAGTAGAGATGGGGTTTCACCACGTTGGCCAGGCTGGTCAAGAACTCCTGACCTCAGGTGATCTGCCTGCCTTGGCCTCCCAAAGTGCTGGGATTATAGTGTGAGCCACTGCACCTGGCCTGACCCTGTTTCTAAATCTGTAAAATGGGGATCAAAATGCATCTTTGCAAGGCCATTGTATGGTTTAAAAATAATGTGTGCAGGCTGTGTACAGTGGCTCATGCCTGTAATCACAGCACTTTGGGAGGCTGAAGCAGGAAGATAGCTTGAAGCCAGGAAGTTGAGACTAGCCCTAGTGACAAAGTAAGACCCTGCTGCTATTTAAAAAAAATAATAAGGCTGGGCGCAGCTACTCATGTCTGTAATCCTAGCACTTAGGGAGGCCAAGGCAAGTGGATCACCTGAGCTCAGGAGTTCACGATCAGCCTGGGAAACACGATGAAACCGTGTCTCTACTAAAAATACAAAAAATTAGCCAGGCAAGGTAGCATGTGCGTGGAATCACAACTACTCAGGAAGCTGAAACAGGAGAATCCCTTGAATCCGGGAGGCAGAGGTTGCAGTGAGCCAAGATACTGCACTCCAGCCTGGGCAACAGAGTGAGACTCCGTCTCAAATAATAATAATAACACGTGCAAAACACCAGAGGGAGGATGAATGCACTAAATGAAAGTAATTCGCAGGAGTGTAGCAGTGGTAGCTGCATAAGTCCAATGAGGACCAGGGCAGTCTAATTATCCTCATTTTATGATAAACTGAGGCTCTGAGAGGTCCAGAACCTTCCCCAAGGTTACACAGTGGGGGAGTGGAGACTCAAACCCATGTCCTCTAGCTCTAGATCTGCACTGTCCAGTAGAATCTTCCGTGAGGATACAAGTGTTCTTCTATATCTGTGCTGTCTGTCACAGCAGCCACTAGCCACATGTGGCTACTGAGCCCTGAAAATATGGGTGGCAAAATATATACCCAATTTTTGAAGACTTAATACAAAAAAAGAGTGCAAAATATATAATTAATTATGTCAATTATATGTTGAAATAACTTTTAGAAATTTGTGTTAAAATCTATAATTAATATTAATGTCACCTTTTTTTTTTTTTTTTTGGTGAGACACGGTCTCACTGTCGCCCAGGCTAGAGTGCAGTGGTGTGATCTCGGCTCACTGCAGCCTCCCAGGCTCAAGTGATCCTCCCACCTCAGATGGGACCACAGGTGCGTGCTACCACACCCAGCTAATTTTTTGTATATTTTGTGGAGACTGGGTTTCACCATGTTGCCCAGGCTGGTCTCAAGCTCCTGAGCTCAAGTGATCCACCAGCCTCAGCCTCCCAAAGTGCTGGGATTACAGGAATGAGCCATAGCGCCCAGCCTTCTACTTTTTTGTAATGTGGCTACTAGAAACATTTTAATTACATCTATGGCTCAACTGTTTCTACTGGACAGTGGGACTCTAGAACTTCTCCAATAGAATATCTGAGATGAGGAACTTAGTGTTTGTTTGTTTTTTTTTTAAGTATTTACAATCCACTGCCCACCAGCAGGGAGCCCTCTGTGACATAAGAACAGTTGAAGAATGAACATACCCACCAGAAAGAGACCCCAGGGACCTCCTCTGAGCTCCATGACCTCTGAGGCCTAGAGAGCAGTGTGGCTGGCCCCAGTCTCACAGAAGTCAGCTTTATAGCTGGAACCAAGCCCTAGATTCCTTGGCCTGATTCGGCCACTTGTGCCACCATTTAAGAGTACCCACTGGGGTTGAAAATCAGTGCTTTTACTTTGGCAAATGGAACCCTGGGATAACACCAGCTGGAGTCTGAGGCCCATGATCTTGAGAAGGCAGGATCCTTTGGGAGGGTTTTCGAGGAGCCAAATCTTGAGCCACAGCCGGACACCTCAGGGCCGAATTACTTGGAGGGGCGGCTTTTGTTATAGATGAGGAAGTCTGAGATGTCATGCCACACATTGCTGTCCTCATAAAGGTAGGTCATGGAGGACTGAAGCGATGGCTGCAGTGTGGGCCGGTGATACTCAAAGAGCCACAGCACCAGCCCCCACAACACCGCGGTGAGCACTGGGAACGGGTTCCACCTGGGTTCAGGGATGTAGCCCTTCTCCACGGCCAGGCGGCTCAGGGCAAACAGGACACGTGACAACACGTACATGTTTATCTGCAAAGAGCCAATGGTGGGAATTACTGGTGAGTGCAGCTGCTGGGAGCCTTCTTCCTGCCCACCCCCATGCACCGGGGAGCCTTCTGGGCACCGAATGGGTTTTTTTCAAAGTTGACGTGCCGGAGGATTTGAAGTGGCATGCAGTAGACATTTTAATACTGCGATCTGTGTCTTTTATTTATTATGCTTTTTTATTAGAAAATGAAATACACCAACATGGTTCAAGACCAAAAGGTAACTTGACACCAGAAACATGATCCATAAAAGGAAAAACTGATAAATCAGATCACATCAAAACTTAAACTTTTTCTTTTGAAAACCCTTGAGAAGAGGATGAAAAGAAAAGCTACAGACTAGGAGAAGATATTTATAAACATGTATGTGACAAAGTGTCTAAATATGTATATATATTCCAGATGTGTATACATACATACATATATATATATATTTATATTTTTTTTTTTCTTTTTTTTTTTAAAGGCAGAATCTCACTCTGTTGCCCAGGCTGGAGAGTGGCGAAATCTCAGCTCACTGCAGCCTCTGCCTCCGCAGTTCAAGCGATTCTTCTGCCTCAGCCTCCCGAGTAGCTGGGACTATGTACCACCATGCCTGGCTAATTTTTTGTATTTTTAGTAGAGATGGGGTTTCACCATACAGGCCAGGCTGGTCTCGAGCTTCTGACCTTGTGATCCGCCTGCCTCGGCCTCCCAAAGTGCTGGGATTACAGGTGTGAGCCACCGCGCCTGGCCCTATTTGGGTTTTTTTGGATTTATTTGTTTCCTTTTTTGACAGGGTCTCACTATATTGCCCAGGCTGGAATACAGTGGCACAATCACGGCTCACCACAACCACACTTCCTGGGCTCAAGCAATCGTCTCACCTCAGGCTCCCTAATAGCTGGACTACTGGCATTCACCACCACACTCAGTTAATTTTTAATTTTTATGGTGATAGGAGTCCTACTATGTTGGCCAGGCTGGTCTAAAACTCCTGGGCTCAAGCAATCCTTCTGTCTTGGCCTCCCAAAGTGTTGGGATTATAGACATTATAGACAATAAATATATTCCTGCCCTGGAATATATTTTTAAAATACTTAAAACTCAACAGTTAAAAAAAAAAAACAGAAAATGGGCAAAAGACATAATAAACAGATATTTCACCAGACAGATTATACAGATGGTAAGTATGCACATGAAAAGATGTTCAATATCGTTAGCCACTAGGAAAAAGCAAATTAAAAGCACAATGAAATAACATTATATGCCAATCAAAATGGCTAAAATTAAAAATGCCTGTAATCTCAACACTTTGAGGAGGCCGGATCACCTGAGGTCAGGAGTTTGAGACCAGCCTGGCCAACATGGTGAAGCCCCGTCTTTACTAAAAATACAAAAATTAGCGTGGTGGGTGCCTGTAATCTAAGCTACTCAGGAGGCTAAGGCAGGAGAATCGCTTGAACAGGAGAATCGCTTGCAGAGGTTGCAGGGAGCCAAGATCTTGCCTTTGAACTCCAGCCTGGGTGACAAGAGCAAATCTGCATCTCAAAAAAAAAAAAAAAAAAAAATGCAGCAGGGGTGTTGTTAGTACAGAGGTGGGAGGGATGAAAGGGTACGTGGTTAAAGGGGATATGGTTCTAAATAGAGGTGGAAGTGAGGGAAGGGGGCATGGTTCAGTGCAGAGGTGGGGGCGGGGAAGAGGGCATGGTTCAGTATAGAGGTAGGGGGAAGACAGCATGGCTCTATATAGAGGTGAGTGAAGGGGGCATGATTCTCTATAGAGGTAAGGGTGGGGGAAGGGGCGTGGTTCGGCGTAGAGGTGGGGGTGGGGAAGGGAGATGTGGTTCTTTATAGAGGTAGAGGTGGGGGAAGGGGCATGGTTCAGTATAGAGGTAGGAGTGGGGGAAAGGGGTGGGCTCAGTGTCGGGGAGGAGTGGGGGAAGGGGTGTGGTTCAGTATAGAGGTAGGAGTGGGGGAAAGGGCGTGGTTTAGTGTAGAGGTAGGAGTGGGGGAAAGGGGTGGGTTCAGTATAGAAGTAGGAGTGGGGCGGCCGGGCGCGGTGGCTCGAGCCTGTAATCCCAGCACTTTGGGAGGCCGAGGCGGATGGATCACGAGGTCAAGAGATGGAGACCATCCTGGTCAACATGGTGAAACCCCGTCTCTACTGAAAATACAAAAAATCAGCTGGGCATGGTGGCGTGTGCCTGTAATCCCAGCTACTCAGGAGGCTGAGGCAGGAGAATTGCCTGAACCCAGGAGGCGGAGGTTGCGATGAGCCGAGATCGTGCCATTGCACTCCAGGCTGGGTAACATGAGTGAAACTCCGTCTCAAAAAAAAAAAAAAAAAAAGAAGT